TGACTTAATACACTATGATATTTGGGGACCCTATCCTGTTACTCCTCTGTCAGGTGCCTGATACAATGCGACATTTATAGATGACCATACCCGTTATACTTGGGTCTACCTTTTGCAGAAGAAGTCCGATGTACTCCCTATAATCACTCAGTTTCTACAAATGATTAAGACACAATTTGATGTCATTGTTCGTGCTCTTCGTTCAGATAATGCCAAGGAATATGTGTTTGATGCTTTAGTGTCTCACCTTTCTTCTTAAGGTATCCTTCAGCAACGCACTTGCCCATATACTCCTGAGTAAAATGGCGTTGCTAAAAGAAAAAATAGGAGTCTGATAAGAATGGTACGTCGTATGCTTAGAGACATGGGGATGCCAAAATCTTATTGGCATTTTACTGTTTTGACTTCTACCTTTCTGTGCAATCGTACGTCGAGTCGTGTTCTTCAACATAGGGCTCCCTTACAGGTTTTATTTCTTGAGCGAACACTTTTTTCGATCCCCCCTCGTGTTTTTGGATGCATATGTTTTGTTCAGGATCGGTCTCCTACTCGTTATAAGCTTGATGATAAAGCAATTTATAATGTCTTTGTGGGCTATTGCAATCAGTCTAAGGGGTATCAGTGTTATGATCCTGTTAGGCGTCGTATGTATCACAGTCTAGATGTTACCTTTCTTGAGCATATTCCTTATTTTTCTTCCAGTCCTGTGTCTGCCTCTCTAGTAGATGATACTTCCTTTGATTTTTCATTACCCTCAGAGCCAGAGTCATTGCTCCCTATCACTACAGAGTTATCGGTCTCTTTTCCTCTAGAGCCACTCATCCCTGGTACAGAGTCACCGGTCTCTCTTCCGTTGCAGGTTTATATTCATCGCACTCGCTCTCATCCCCCTACTGATGTCCCATCTACCTCAAGCGATGCAGGTAATACTTCTTAGTTTGTTGAGCATATTGATGCACCTATTGTTAGTACTTATGAGATTGCAGGTACGGAGCCAATTGTTTTACCTGATGAGATATTGTCAGTGGAGGATGATGATTTAGAGCGTCGTTATCCGCGGCGTGATCGTCACCCAGTTATTCGTTATGGTTAGACTGCCAGGATTTTATACCCGATCTGTGCTTATGTTTCTTATGGTGATCTGTCTTCTACATTTCGGGCTTATAGTATGGCCTTATCAGATACGTCGGTTCCTCGCTCTATTTCAGAGGCTATGTAGGAGCCCCGGTGGGTTCTTGCCATACAGACAGAGATGAAAGTTCTTCAGCGTAATCATACATGAAATCTTGTCTCTGTACCTTCAGGGATGAAGACTGTTGGCTGTCGTTGGGTTTACACCCTGAAGTTTCTTGTGGATGATACTATTGATCGTCACAAGGCTAGGCTTGTAGCAAAAGGCTTTACTCAGGTGTCAGGTCATGATTTTGGTGCTACCTTTGCCCCTGTGGTAAAATTGACTACTGTTCGACTGATTATTTCTTTGGCTGCGGAGTACTCTTGGCCTCTTCATCAGTTGGATGTGAAGAATGCATTTCTTCACGGTGATTTGGCCGAGATTATTTATATGGATGCACTACCGGGCTTTCATGGTGAGGGAGAGTATGCTGGAAAGGTATGTCAATTGCGTAAGTCTCTTTATAGACTGAAACAGTCACCACGAGCTTGGTTCTCTCGCTTTAGTGATGAAGTTATACGTTTAGGGTTTACCAGATATCATTTTGATCATACCTGTTTCATTCGACGGAATACTTCTGGACAGTGTGTCATCCTTTTGGTATATATTGATGATATTATTATTACTGGAGATGATATTTTTGGGACTGCGCAGGTCAAGGTAGACCTTGGGAAGGCCTTTGATGTGAAGGACCTTGGATTTTTGCGATACTTTCTTGGGATTGAGGTTGGCCATAGCAATAGAGGTATTATTCTTTCTCAGAGAAAGTATGTTCTAGATCTTCTCTCAGACACTAGGATGCTGGGGTGCAAAATGGCATCATCACCCATGATTCCAAACCTGAAACTTACTGCTGAAGGTGAGGAGTTGAGAGATGCGTCTGTCTATTAGAGGTTGGTAGGTAGACTTATCTACCTAGCCAACACTAGGCCAGACATTTCATTCGCTGTCAGCCGAGTTAGTCAGTTCATGCACAGACCATGTCAGCCTCATCTTGATGCAGTTTATCATATTCTTTGGTACCTCAAGTCTTGTCCTGGACTTAGGTTGTTCTATGCATCAGGATCTCAAACTGGTTCTGTAGCCTGTTATTCAGATTTAGATTATGGGAGAGCATGTGATGGTCAATCTACTACAGGTTTCTGTGCTTTTTGAGGGACTCATCTTATCTCTTGGAAGAGCAAGAATCAGTCAGTTGTCTCTCGCTCGTCAGCAAAGGCAGAATATCGGGCACTAACACTTGACACATGTGAGATTATCTAGCTACGATCGATTCTTGGCGAGTTGGGATTTTCAGTGACTTCTTCATCTACATTATATTGTGATAATCGATCTACTATTTAGCTTGTTTTTGACTCTGTATTACACGAGAGGACGAAATATATAGAGATCGATGTTCACTTTCTTCGGGAGAAGGTTAGTAGTGGTATTGTCACTCCATCGTTTGTGAGGACTAGTGATCAGGTTGCAGATATTTTTACCAAACTTGTCACTCTATCCATTCTTCAGGATTCTGTTGTCAAGTTTGACTTAGTTGACATTTTTACACCTACCTTGAGAGGGAGTGTTGGAGATATAGTAGTAGCCTAGGGTTTCTAAAGTTTTCTCTTTTTACCTTTTTATCCTTATTGTAACTTTCATTGGCTATATATACGGAACTATACACTTAGTTTGTATCCCTTTTTCACTAACAAATATTTCAAGTCATACAGATGTAGTTCCTGAATACTTTGGATTTTCACCCTTGTAATTTTTTATCCAATTTCTCCAAGTTAGACTGAAAAGATTGATTCCTTGATCTTCCAATGTGCAAGGGAAGTGCCAGGTAGACTGTATCAATAGTATACTTCTTGAGACCAAGGATGTGTTTGACAGATCTGAAGGTCTCCCTAAAAGCATTGGGACTGTAATGAATTCTTGATTTCTCCCTGTTTACCTTTTGTCCAGAGTCCAGACCATGATTCATTGGTATCCAGACAATCATATATAGCCTTCGATTCTTCTTGATTTGTTCTACCAAAGATTAGGAGATCGTCAGCAAACATTAGGTGGAACAGAGGGTCGTAATTGCTCACTATACGAATGCATTTTATGTCACCTTGTGATTGTTTCCTATGAAGAAACCCTGATAATAAAGAGGAATGGAGATAAAGGGTCACCTAGTCGCAGGCCATGCTGACTAGAGAATATTCTCATAGGACCACCATTGATCAAAATAGAGAAAAAATGAGTGGAGATACACTGCTCTATGGAGAAAATGAAGGATGGAGGAAAACCCATGAGTGTGAGTACTTTTAGCATAGAGGGCCATTCAATAATCGATTGCCTTGGCCATGTTGATTTTCAATAACATCAATGCTCCTTTTCCTTCCTTCTTCTTCATTCGATGAACAATCCCTTGGGTAAGTACAATATTTTCCACTATTGTTCAACCCGGGATGAATACTGTCTGAATTGGAGCAATGATTTGATCTATGTGTGGTGGGTCTTAACCTGTTTGCAAGTATTTTTGAAAAAAGTTTATGTAGAATATTACAAAGACTGATATGCCTATATTGCTCGATTGATGCAAACTTATCTGATTTGTGGATTAGACAAATGTTTGTTGCATTAAGTTCAGAAACCATGCGACCTCCTAAAAAGAAACTCCTCACCATGTCCAAATCATCTCCCACAGTGTTCCAATAGGATTTATAGAAAATAGGTGAGATTCCCTCGGGTCCAGGAGCTTTGAAAGAGGGCATGGCAAAGAGAGTTGACTTGATTTCTTCATAGGACGGGATTGAGCATAGTTGGGGGTAATATTCAGAGGTTATTATAAGTGAGATGAGAGAGTCAAGATCAGCTAGGACTCGAGGTTCAGAAGTGGAGAATAGTGATTGTAAGTGACTTACGAATTGACTTCCCATTTCTGTTCTTTCAGTGATGCAGTTTCCATCAGGATGTTTAAAGCAATAAATTGAGTTTCTTCTCCCTCTGATCACTGTAGTATCGTGAAAATATTTGGTATTCGTCCACTGCACTCTTGATCTTTGTTGCCATAGAATTTCTTCACGATTTAGCTGCTCTGCTAAATCAAATTTGAGGATTTTTTTTCTTCCAGAAGGTTATCTGGCGTGCATGGGTGGGCTGTGATTGTTGGATCAAATCAATTTTGTTCCTGATGAATTGGATTCTTTTGGTGCAGTTGCTGAAGTGATCTCTATTCCACTCTCTTAGCCTTTGTTTTGTAGATTGCAATTTCCTGTAAAACTTGTAGGCTAATGTATGCAAAACACCATGCAACAGACTGTTTAATCTACAAGCTCCCTATAAAACAAGCCTATCTAGTAGTCACAACTTTCAATTCAGGAATGGATCAACTCAGATTTCACAACAACGTACAAATGAATGCAGATAAATGTAATCGAAATTAGTGCATTTGGGCATCAAGCAAAAGGCCATGCATTCGAATCTAGCTATTACTCTAATAATCAAAAAACTTTCAGGTCCTTGGCTCCGTATCGAGTCTGCACCTGAAGAGATGTGTTGAAAAATACAAACATTTAATTAAAAGATTTCGTAGTATCTCTTATTTTTCATCTTGTTGTGAAGGAAAACCTCATGTATCTAAATTCATTTTCCTCGTATTTTTTTTTAATCTTTTTCCTATTTTCTATTTTTTCTTTTCAACACAACAAATATATTTTTAGAAGGTGACTCAAACAAACCATAATCAAAGCAAGTATCATATTTCGGAAGCTAACTAGTAACTAGCTGACTTCAGCTTTAGATATAATCAAATCTCATATCTAGATTCCTTTGGTATACCAATACGACGAGACTGCAGCAACAATATAATCATGGTAACAATAGTATCTTCATTCAAAAGTAATGTTATGATACAAATTCCAGTTAGATAGATCCCTAGAAAACCCACAATAAAGACTTACCTGTTGTTTCTGTGATCGCAGCACATGAACTTTGGAAGTGGATTTGGAAGATGAGCAGCATCTTGCAGAACTTAAGTTGATGAATTTTAGAATCAGAATGTACGAGACCAATTTACATGATTTACAGTCTTTGTAAAGCACAGAACTCGGTAATCTCTTCACTATCAGCTGTTGCGGATCAAATTGGTCGGTTCACTCAACACATACTTTGGCAACTCATACTTTGCACCTGGAATTTAAGGTCCAGAAGCTGACTAGAATTTTGACGCCCAAATACAATCATGAATATATTAAGTTGCAAATGGATTACATACCTCTTTCATCATAGCAGACTGTCAAGTCAGGGGCTTGAACAATAACACCAGCACTCTCAACAATTGCTTGTGCAAGGGCCAAATCAGCCTCAGCTGCAGCTCGGAGTGCATCCCAAATCTCTGACAAAAAAACAATATTTGTTGTTCAGATATTAAGTTTTCATATGCTAACCTCATTCGCAACGTTTCTTTGTGCACGAGTGAATGTCAATGCAAGAATGTTCTACAAAACCACCACCATCAAGTGCAGAGACATGTACAACCAATCAGAACAAAAATTAGAGTTTGCAGGGATAGAGATAAACAGTCACAACAAAAATCTACAAAAGCAAGATATTTATCCATAATCTTAATGATGAAGGCATTGGCCTCAATGAGCCTGGTGCACGCCAGGGTAACCAAACTCAAGTCTATCGGAATTGCATTGGATTTTTTAATTACAGCATTACCAAGCATCTAATGTATTCACTACTTTTGACAAACTAGTTTTTAATGTTCAGCATCTATAACAGCCCGCCGCACCCCCCCCCCAAAAAAAAAAAAAAACCCAAACCCACAACCCACCCCAAAAAAAGAAGAGGGAGAGAGGATTCTCTACTAGATTCTACACAAGCACAGCACAGTGGCACCTGTAGGTTACTCTCTCTCACTCACATCCACGAGAAAGGAGGGGCTCCTCTGCTCAGTTCTCCTTAAGCACAGCATGCTGGCACCTCCAGGTTACACTCCCCCCCCCCCCCCCCCCCTTTTTCTCTTCTCTCTTTTCTTCTCCTCTCTCTTCCAAAATTTTAGGATTTAATTCAATTCAAATTAGAGGTTGTAGGGAGAAGATATTAACAGAAAAACAAAAAATAGTAACAATATATCTAACTTGTTGCATATAGCAGCCCCATAAGAATTGTATAAAAAAGGGGTGGCCTAGTGCAACGAGGCTTCCGCTATGAGTACGAGGGTCAGACACACATAGCCTTGCTTTTGTAGGCAGAGACTGTTTTTACGACTATAACTCTTGATGTACAAGTTACAATGAATTATATAACCTTACCACTGTGCTAAGGCCCACCCTCGCCTATAAAGTTATATATCTATCCCAAATGTTAATGATGAAAAACTGTCCGCGCTGAGCTTGGTGCAAACCAGGGTAACCAAACTCACCCCCGTTGGACCAGGCATTAAATCACGAGCTTAGATCTATTGAGGGGATAACACATTTGAAGATCTAACCACAGGATCATCAGATTCACCTCTACGAATTGGAGGCTACTTGTTTTGTGGTCCAACAATTCCAGTGCATACCTTACGTTTTAGAAGTCATTGTCTAATCCATTCTCCACTTCTTTTTTTTCATATTTTCAGATTCAATTGTACGTTCAATATCTTCCCCTCGAAATAAAACTAGTATTTTTTTTTTCAATCTGGTTACTTGGCAAGCAAACCGAACTGAGCTCATGTGTTCATGAACAGGTTGCATAGTCAGTGAATGGACAAGGTTTTCAGCTATGAGGTAATTTAACCAATTACAACCATCCGTGCATATTGAGAACTATATATCAATGTTAATGTTAGATATTCTATGAAAATTACTATAAAAAATAAGAAAACATATGGCCTAAAATACCTTTTTGGCCACCATAATGCGGAGCAGTGTCCCAGAACTCATCGCGCATCTTCATGAGGTGTGCCATTGTTATTGGTTCAGAGTGCTTCCACGGCTTTGGTTTTCGTATTTTCTTAGCAGTTTCTGTGAGCAGATAAAAAGAAAAAATACTTGAACAAAGTACAAGGATTCAAGACTTTGAGCATATTCTCATGCTTCAATTACTGTGAAAAAATTTCAAGGTCATGATCTAAACCAGTTAAATTACCAACACAAGCTAACAGATCAGACACAAAGCCAGAAAAAAAACTAAACACCAATTCACACACACACAAACACACTATGAAAGGAAACATGAACTTCATGGAAATTCTGATCATCTCCCTGAAGTGCAACACTGGACAAGAGGTAGTTTGGACAAAACAAGCCAAAATAAAAGCAGGTCTAATGTGATTCTAGCAATTTCTCACGACAAATTGAATTAAACTGAAAGCCAGCCTCACGTGTTCTTAGCAATTTCTTACAATCACATCTATCATCTTTTTATATAGAAAGCTACAACCTACAACTGATGCCTCACGTTTGGTATCCAAAATTCAACACTCTTTTGCCATGTCAACCTCACCATTTCTATTTACTTCACAGCAGACCTTACAAGTTTTGTGGACTTGAACAGTAAGAACAATATAAATAGGTAAATTCTAGTGGAACATACAAATTTGGGCCAATTACACAAAAAATGTCTTGTGATAATTACATCATCAACAGTGGAGGTACACACAAATACAAGCAATTCACCAGTAAAGAAATATATGTGGCATTATTACAAAATATGTTGCTCTAAATATGTAACTCATAGAGTAACATTGGACCAAATTGAAAAGCCAAAATACTTACTGGAACCCTTTCAGGAGCATTAATTGAAACTCCAAATAGTTTTCCATCTCATTCAAGATGAAGTCGCAACAATGTCAAGTTACATGAGAAAAAACTAATCACACCATGACCATAAGGAAGTCATGACTCATGATAGTCTATAGAACTAGCAAAGAAAGGTGCCCCTTAGGTTTGCTTTATAATGATTTATGCGGTGGAAATGGAATGGGGGCATAGTGTCACTTTGTTATTGCTATTGAGTGCCATCTTGTATAATTCACAAGAACTTGAATTGCACAGGGTGTTTTGACAATTGAAATTAATTCACCAATCTCCATACTTTCAGCCACGTGGATCAAACCCAGGTAATTTAAGCAGTAGTCCAGTTTAGTTTAAGCTGCTTTTTTCAGTAGTTATAGCACAATTAATCTGATCAAACTCCAACTGCTTTGCACATGGATCAAAATGGGAAAAGGTATATTATCCACTAAAACTGATTCCGGGGAACAAGCCAAAACCAAATACCCAACTGAAGCCATTTGGTTATTCCGATTGAAATTCTAGGGAAGATTAGCTCAATTAAAGTTGAAGATGCTAGTGTCAAGTCAAACCAACGGGACCATGACAAGAAGAGATACATATAGTTTATCATTCAAGCAAGCAAGGCAGACTCCTGTATTTATTGGACGATTTACATACTGGACTGGGTATAGTGTTATTCTATTTTTGGTGTTGTTTTTTTCTAAGTGTCCTCTTGTATACATCACAATCTGTTGAACTGCCACTCTGTGGCACTCACTCTATTAAATTTCTTAAGCCCACAACCTGGAGTAATAATTTTCTGAAGTCAATCACATTAGGACTGAAAGAAGGCATATGTTCGAGTTAACCAAGTCTTTGAAAAACTAAAATTCGGATCATGTGCAGGATCTGTTTTTTTACTTTCATTTTCTGCTTTAAATTTTCGTAAAACCCACTCTGTAATTCTAGTTTCAGAAAAAAATGTGTTTCTTAAGATTTTTAAACCTAAATAAATAGATATACAATGAAAAATACGCTAGAAGTGTTTTATCATTCTTTAAATTTGGGTTTATCTTCTTTTACTTTTAAATTTTTCCATTGCAGTGTATTGTATCCAATCAAGCTTTTTTACTTGAATGTTGACTCAAATTTGAGTAAAATTAGATCAACAAATTAATTCAACCAATTTTCTAGAAAAACTAGAAGCCATAACAACATTACCCAAACTAGACCTTACTTAAACAGTCAATCGAGTGCGTCATCAACAGCAAACATTTAGGGTACGTTTGGTTACAAACTGAAATGCAAAAAAAACAAACAATAATAAAGCGATAAATTGAGCTTAAAAACAAACGATTCCCAAGTCAAATCTCAATCATCAACACATATACACACAATAACTGCAAGATTTTAAGACGACAAATGCGTATAATTAAAAAACACCACTAATCAAATTCACACATACACACACGCACACACACAAAAAGAAATTATATCAGAGAACCAGAAAATTCAAGAGAAGATTTGAAACCTGACCATTTCCTTTGGCAGGCGACGATCCAGTGCATCCCATGCTCTCTAGTCACATGCAATCACACATATACACACTATATCTATATGTATGTATGTAGGTATGTATATATATTATTTCACCAACGAACAATGATTACGTGTTTAAGAAGCTTCGCTTTGGTGTCTTAGAGAGAGAGAGAGAAGGGAGTCTACTGTGTTTCAACTCTCTGAAATTCATCTACCTTTCTGGGTTTGGGGGTTTCGCCTTTATTTGATGAGGTGGTTGACACTTTTCATGGTTCTTGTACGTTACTCGATCAAGTGATGACACGTCGGATATGGCAGGGGAGGGGGGTCGATTAAGAGAACACGTCGGACATGATTAATTGGATGATTTTTGAGAATAAAGTATGAATTTACGATAATTTAAAATAAAGTTACCAAATTATAATATTTTTAAAATTATTTATCAAATTATAATATTTTTTAAAAAATAAGTTGTTATTCATATTTAGGGATGTTCATGGGCCGGGTTACCCATGGGTTCTATTATTCGGTCCAAAAAAAATAGGTCCGTTTGAACCCGAGCCAAATATCCTTAAAAAGAAAGTTTGAGTTTGCCCCCAAAATTATTACCCAACCCAATAGCCTACCTAAAAAAACCCGTTAAAACCCGATCCAATAGCCTGCTTACCAAGCCCAGCCCAGCCCACCCTCCCTTGGAAAAAAAATTATAATTTTAAATCATTAAATTTAAAATTTTAAAATAAATCTTTCAATATCAGAATTTAAAATTTTTTAAATTTAAATATTATAAATAATGTATTATTTTCTTTTCCATGTATTAATCATATAAGTTTTAAAGGGTAGAGTAATACAAATGACAAATAAGTGAGTAAGCGTCAACTTAATTGAGATATATTCATTCTATTTGATGTAGTTCATCTCCTAATAAAAATTTCATTATTTTTACATAAAGTTATAAAAATATTCATAATTTTTAAATAAAATTGTATATAAAAAGGCCAGTTAGGCTGCGAGTAACTTATCCCTACCTGAAGCTCGGTCCGACACACCCCAATAATTCACTTGAGTAAGGATTTAGACCGACACTACACAAGTCCGACCAAAAAAAATTCGCGGGGCCTAACCTCGGCCCTATCCATGGACACCCCTACTCATACTATGCACCTTATATAATGGGACAAGTGCGTGGTAGGGTTGTTATATGAAATTCATAGTTTAAACTTAAAAAGCGAGTCATATGTAGATGAAAGAGGAAATGATATTTGAATTTAAAATGTATATTTGATAATCACAATTATAAAATATATAATGAGTTTCAATAAATGCTAGGACTCATAATGAAATCAATTGTTGTAATTTTCAAGTACACTTTTTACGTTCATATAGCATTGCTTGGGATAATAGTAGACCGGTAAAAAATAGAGATTCGTTCATATCTGTCTTGTTTGGACTAGAGATAAACCATACTTTTTGAATGGTGGATATATATGGGGGATATCAGTATAAATCCATGCGGCAATTGACTGAAACCTATCCTTGCCCCGTTCCGCCTTGCCCCTCTAAACTCATTATATTTATATATATACTAATTATAACTCGTGGCTAAAAGTACGATGAAATATAGAATTCTAGCGTTCAAAAAATTGATTCCACTATACCAAATTTAAAATTAATTTCTTTGTTTACATCATTTAAAATTAATTTCTACCTATTATTTTTTTAAAAAAATAGTATCAAAATTTTATTAAAATGCATATCTCGACCAAATTTTTTCAAAATATGTACACTATCGTGTATGGATAATGTATGAAATAAAAGTTGTGTTAAACTATAAATTAACAAAATATTAAATGATTAAACATGTGATAGAATTTAGGTAATGTGATATTTTTTGGAAGAAAAATGTACAGAGAATAAAGATTTAACTTACTTACTGATTTATTATATAGATATAAATATAACAATAACTTTAAAGGTTTTTAAATTTTGAATCATGAACTTTTGTCAACTTATTTCTTTGTTTTTGGTTTTGGTCATATTATGTGATATAGACATATAATTTATACTTTATTTGTTTTGATTTTTTTTATCGCAGGGATTAAAACTTGTTCCGTTAACTGGAATAAACAAACTTTTTTTAAACGTGCACGGATGTGGATAGGGGTGTTCATGGGCAGGGTTACCCACGGGTCCCGTTACCCGGCCCGAAAAAAATAGCCCCGATAGTTGGTCTGCCCAAGCCCGAGCCCAGTATCCCTTAAAAGAGGACTTGTGTTTGCTCCCAAACCCATTACTCTGCCCAAAAGCCCGCGCCGCAAGCCCAACCCAGCCTATCCTACCTTTCCTTTGAAAAAAAGTTATATTTTTAGACCATTAAATTTGAAACTTTGAAATAAGTCTCTCAATATCGAAATTTGAAGTTTTAAAAATTTAGATATTATAAATAATGTATTATTTTATTTTCCATGTATTAAGCATATAAGTTTTAAATGGTAGAATAATACAAATGATAGATAAGTTAGTAGGTGTCAACGTAGTTGAGATTTATTCATTCTATTAGATGTAGTTAATTATTTTATTTTTATCCATGTTGACTTTACTTTGATTCAAAAATATAATTAACACAAATATTAAGTTACAAAAATATTTATTATTTTTAAATAAAGATGTATATAAAAAAGTTCGCAAACAAGTCCACCTAACAAGCCTGCTCACAAGCCCGCCTAATAGGCTCACAGGTTGGACTGCGGATAACCTACTCCTACCCAAAGCCTGCCCCGCCAGATAACTCACTTGGGTAAGAGTTTGGGCTTACACTAAGCAGGTCAGACCCAAAAAAAAATTTCACGGGCCTAGCCCGGCCCGGTCCATGAACACCCCCAGATGTGAAAACTAGTCCTCCCAGCCACCACCCTGATCCACTGCTAATTCCTAAGGTCATTGACTTGGGGTTGTTGCTTCCATTGACGAAACAACCTTATGGTCAAGGGTACTTCTCAGAAATAGCCCATGTCTCTCTTAAGTTTTTAAAAATCCTATATCCATTCTAAAATTTTAAAAAATCTTGTTATATAGGTTGAATAATTCAAGTAGTGTATTCAAAATCCTAATAGCCTTTGATAACAAATTGGGGGTATTAATCACATGAATTAGTGTTTTCTCATTCAGACACATGTTTGTATAAGTCTTATGAACAAAAGAAAAAATTAAAGAAAATTATTTGACCATCTGAGTTGGTGGTCTAATGATATGTTATATCCGTTTATGGTTGTTCTTAATTTCTATATAGTTATTAAGCGGAGTTTAATTCACGGGAGCAACACAATTTATTACTTGGCTTTAATGGTGTTATGATGACGGAGTGCCCTTCCAAGTTAGTAGATATAACTCAAACCAGATATTCTACATTAGGGGGACCTTCATGGTCACACCTAAGGGGGTTTATTACTTGCTGATCACCCTTTCCCTTATTCATGATCAACAACAACAATAAAAAAAAAAAAAAAAACAAAAATTGGTTAACATATATTATAATAATACATTGACAATTAATAACTACTATCCAAATAATTGATTAAATTAAATAACTATTATCCAACGTATATGTTGTGTATTATCAAACATTAAATAAAATTATGTATTATTTTAATATTCTATTTAATTTTTTTTTCCTATTATATTGTATTTGATTGAATTAGTTTATATAATCTTTATATTTTTAATCCCATAACCGAACGAGCCCACCATATATAAAAGAAGTCATTTCAATAAAATGTTGTAGTGTCAAAAAAAAGCCATGTCCACCAAGTTAGTTGATTTCGGCGGTTTTTCTTTCGCTTCTTTTTCATCGTACAAGTCTTTTCTCGCTATAAAGTGTTTCTTATAATGGGAGTTTCTCTTTTGCTTCTTTTTCAACCTACAAGTCTTTTCTCGCTGTACTGTGTTTCCTATCATGTCACTCTGATATTTCACTTGTTTTTAGGATAAATTACAATAACATTCATTGTTGTTTTTGATTTTTTCACTACACCTTTTATTGTTTTTAAAATTACACCAAATCCCTTAAGATGGGACAATTTATAACAAATTCACCCGTGTAATAGACTGCCAACGAAAAAACCTGCAACCATGAAGTCATCAAATTTTTAAGCAGGAATTACCGACTTTGCCCCCAACCCAACGGAGAAATCTGGATATAATTTATAAATTTTCCCCCAACTCAGAAGGAAAATCTAAAATTGATTCTTGCACACTGCTTTGGGTGACATATTGATCGGCAGGCCTCTTGGCTATGGAAGGTACCTTGCTACCAAACCTTTTGCTTGCCTATATCTGTTAGGCGAGTCCTATTTGACTAAAGGTACAACCTAAGGCTTAAAGTTCTAGTCTAACTCTATTCCGAATAATTACGAGTTGGGGATAAGACATTAAGGAGTAAGAGTCCTAGCCTAATATATCTCAAACTTTGAGGGACTGGTAATGAGAATGGTTTTATCACAACATAGAGTTTGGGTTCTTTTGTAATACAACTTCCTATCTCTATAAATAAATGTGTCCGGGTACCAGGTAAGAACATTCAATCCTAGCTATGCACTTCATATTCTTCTTCAATTTGCGATCTGAGTTAAGTATTTGAGTCCCTTTAACCGCTTTTGGCCATCGATTCACCTAAATGTCTCTTGTCTTGTAGATCACTTAAGACTTCCTCACCGTTCTTTCCGTTTGTACGAGGTGGTGGCTTATAGTGCAAAATTCTCTGCACACAAATGGCGCATTCTATAGGAAACGACTTAGTTTTCTGACAACCTAGAAGCTTTGAACCATGTCCGATGAGAGAACCAACAACTCGACAACTTCCCGCCGAAGCATTACTTCAAGATGGGCAGGAAGCGCCCAGAAAAGAACAACATCTTTTCCATCACAACCTATCTCCTCTCGGTACAGGAGGAGAACTAGCTACCGAGGTGGCCTACCAGGAGGCAATAAGATAGAAGACAGTGAAGCTAGAAGCCCTCAAGCAAGAGTTCCTTCACCAAAGGGGCAATAAACTTGCTAGCCAAGTTGAGCACCCGCCTTATCAAAGCGACCACCACAATGATCACTTTGATGAGGCTTAATCTACCCGTCGCAGAAGCAAGTCTCCAACAAGGAGCTATTCGACCCATGATCAGCATCGAGTTAGGTACTCACCGAGGCAAACTACTTCACAATG